AACAGTTACCTCGACAGGTTACATGGATTTCAAGAAGAGATCACAGTAAAATCTAAAAATCGGCATTAAGTGAGAGATGTGCGCGCACCCAATGTTGTTGTTTCAGAGCCTTGTTTTTGGAACGTTACTGAACCCAACCAACACTGTAAAACAGATATACTGGCCAACTACCCCTTAGTCCAGGAATCTCCAACTGTAGCACCTTGAAGACTTGTGGACTTTGGACTCCCAGAATTCCTCAGCCAGCCATGCTGGCTGAGGAATTCTGGGAGTTGAAGTCCACAAGTCTTCAAGGTTGGAGATCCTTACCTTAGACCAAGGGTCTTCAGACTTGGCAAGTTTAAGACTTGTGGACTTCAACTCCTAGAATTCCTGAGCTAACATGACTGGAGGAGGAATTGTGGGAGTTGAATTCCACAAGTCTTCAAGGTGGGAGATCCTTACCTTAGACCAAGGGTCTTCAGACTTGGCAAGTTTAAGACTTGTGGACTTCAACTCCTAGAATTCCTGAGCTAACATGACTGGAGGAGGAATTGTGGGAGTTGAATTCCACAAGTCTTAAAGCTGTCAAGTTTGAAGACCCCTGCCTTAGACTATCAAACTTTTTCCTTAAATATATGAGACCCCCTAAAATTGACTGAGAACTAACTACTAGGGAAATAAATTCACCCCCACCCATCCCCCAAAACAGCAAACCTTAAGAAGAGCAGGCATATGAGGAAGGGATGACTGGAACAACGGCTCAACAAGATGAAGCTGGCATACATTCACACACAGACAACATCCACACCCAACAAGAAAAACCTAACATCTGAAGGGCTGGTTGCTGGATAGAGCTTCAAGTTGAGGTCATCCCTAGCTTCCCAGGGAGACATTTAAAAAGAAAATGGTTCAAAATATCTCCAACAGGATAACTTCTGTGACCTGCACGGTGCAGTTAAAATGATTGTGCTGATCGCCTCCAGTAAAATTATATATAAATTTTCCTTTGGATGGTGGTGGTGACGGTGGGAGGAATGAAAAAGCAGGACACGATCTCAATATAACAGTACTCCCTACGTCTAATTCTCAGCTGTTTCTCAGGTCATCTCTGAAGGCCTCCCTTTCACCGTGAATTCTTCTGGAAAGCCCCATTTTTTTATTTAGCCATAAAAGAATCCTAATTCAGGGATGCTTGAGATCGTTCCTGCTTGGAGCATGAGCTGCAGAAATGTGTATTTGCAGATGATTGGCAGGACGTGAGCCGGAGTTGGACTCCAGATTTTACTGAGGTTCTGTCTCAGAGAGCATAGGACTGGGGAATGCTGAGCGAGCATGCTATGCAATTCCACAGGGTATCTTTCTGTGTGCACAATCAGGGTCGGGGTGGGTTTCCACCACTTCTGTCCACCTCTGTAGAACCGGAAACTCTGAAGAGCAGCAGACATAGAACCGGTTCTATGCCTGCTGATGTTTTTGCCCACCTGCCCACCCGGGCTCTTACCTGACCTTTATTTCCTGATTTTTTTTTCAACTTCAGCTGCCGAACGAGGCACAGCTGCAGTTAAAAAAGCAGGAAAAAAAGAGGGCTGTTCCAAAGGCTGCGTCTCTGCACACAGCATGCTGATGACGACTGCCGTGAAGGGAAGCTTTTAAATCCCCAACCCTGTAGTTAACCCTGTCATACCCCACCCCTGATCAGGGTCATTATCCAAAGTCATAAAAACAAAGGATGCTAAACTAAAGCGACCACGAATTATAGCTGCTGCAAGCATAAGATAGGGCAAGGTATACACATAACTGCTTTGAAGATATTTACATAATTGTATCTACAAATATAAAACTCAAGAGTTCCTACATATGTGAGATTTTTAATGAAGCCTCTCAGCTTGCTAGTAAAAGCCCTGTATCCCTCTTATCCATTTAAGCAAATGCTCCTAATTTATGTAGAAGGGGAGGAAAGGGAAGGGGAACGGGAAGGAGGAAAAGAAGATGGAGACAGTGAAAAAAAAGGAGAAAAAGAATGAAGGGGAGGTAGAAGAAGGGGAGGAGGAGAAGATGGACAAAGAAGAAAGAAGACAGAGAAAGAAAAAGGAGGAGGAGAGATGGAGAGAGAAAAAGGAGAAAAAGAATGAAGTAGGAGGAAAGAAGGGAGATGAAAAAGGAGGAAGAGAGATGGAGACAGAAAGGAGAACATGAATGAAACAAAGGTAGGAGGAGAGAAGAAAGGAGATGAAAGAGGAGGAGGAGGAGGTGATGGTGGTGGAATAATCAAGAGAAATTTGGCTACTCAAAAGAAAATCTGAATGTCATCTGGATGAGTTTTCAGGTTTAGGATACATGAGCAATTTGCTAAGGGCAAAGGGCCAGAAAATTTAGCAGCAATATATATGTTGGCAAGACTGCCTAATCAGAAAACAATTTGGGAAACTTGTCATGTTTAGTTGAATCAGAGAAAAAGAAAATGAAAATATTATGTACTGGCAAAGTTCTGGCTTCAAATTTATTGGCACTGGGTCTTCTCATAAACCAAGATCAGTGGACTTTCTTTAAAAAAAAAAGCATATACTGATTGAGGCCCATCTTGGATCTCAGTAACTTCTTTTGGCTTTCAAAGGGGATGCTAGGTTTCACCAAATGGATGACTGAAATACAGCTTGACCATAACTTTGGGGAACATTCATTCTGGGGTGTAATACATTTTGGGCCATATTTATACCTACCACAAACGCATTAATATCTATTGCCAAGATTTTGACAAAGTTAGAAAAGTCTGAAGAAACAGCTGTTGTGTGTGGCAACACACAACAGTTGGTAAATTAAAAACAAAGTCAGGCTACTGGGGGAAAAATCCTCAGGTTGAATTTGCATCTTATTCATTACTGAAAAATCAGGGAAACCAGGCACTGTGCTGAATCGAACACAGAACCTCTGCAAAAGGTAGGTCATATGATTTTAAAGTCTCCACTGCTCAAGGCACAGACAGCCATCTCTTGGGATTTTGACTTTTGGGCTTGATTTAAAGAGAAAAAAATCTATGTACTAACAAGATTTCAGAAACCTGTCTACACCAGGGAAGGGAATCTTTGGCTTCGATTAACTTTAAATTAAAGTAAATTAATCTAAAACATAAAAACTCTTGAATAGAAGACAGCACTGACTGGAGGTGGGAATCTGGCTTTCATTTTATACTGGAGATCAGGGTCCAGACTAATCAAGATCTGTGTACCTCCTGAATAGAATTGAAGCAGTGTTTCCTAACCTTATCCATTTTAAGATGTGTGGACTTCAACTCCCAGAATATCCTATCGTTGGCTGGGGTATTCTGGGAATTGAAGTCTATAAATCTTAAAATGGCTAAGGTTGGGAAACAATGAGTTAGAGAGGAATCAAGAAAGTTTACAAGAACATGATAACGGTCCTGCAGAAAAGAACTAGCATAATGAGAACACAAAGAATCGAATAAAATTTGCAATGTAATTACTAGAATGGTTATGGTACCCCCTAAAACACATCCCCGACAGTCAATTTTGGCGAGTGAACTCAAGAGTATAACGGAGCTAGCAGGGCACTACCCAAATGGTAATTTTGAGAAGTGGGTTGGGTTTACACATCATCCTTCAAATTGTTAAAAAAGAATCAAAATGATATCTAAGTCCAGAAGGGGGAGAGGAAGCCACAGAGAAGCATTTAAAAAGAAGCTGTAAAAAGCAAGAGAAGGGGAAATTCATCCACACCAGGGACCTTGGTGACTTGAAGACTTGTGGACTTCAACTCCCAGAATTCTAGGAGTTGAAGTCCACAGGTCTTAAAGTTGCCAAAGTTGGGATACCACTGAGTTACTCAGAGAGTGAAACAACAACCAGATAGATTGACCAACTATTTCAAGTATTATGTGAGATAAAGCTGTTGCCTGTTTTTAACAAAAACAACCCGTGACCCCCTTAAAATAGAAAACCTGCAAGAAGAACCCCGAAGTGCTTCCTAGAGGGAACGTTTTCACTTTGCGATGATTCAACACATGCATAAATATACACACCAGGGACCATTCAAACCTGCCCTCGGAAATTGTACGGTCCTTTCTGGCGCTGGTGCCCGGTAGATGTTACGACAATGTCACAACGGGCCATGACAACCTCACGCACGTGATATGCAAAGGCGGTTGCTGGTGACAGGATTTCGTGGGCGTCCACTCCCAGAGAGATTGCAAAGCAGGAATGAGATTGTGAGACAAAAAAAGACGGTGGGGAAGTGATTGAAGCGGAAGCAGCTCGCAAAATAGAGGAGGTTTGGACTGATGGCTTTATTAACAAACCTAGTGAATTCTACTGCAAAACCCTGAACAATAGAGGAAACTTTGAGACGCCCGCTACCTGGATGAACACACAACTTCCATTTGTGGTGGATTCTCCCACTCATCACAGAGAAAATGTTCAATAGAAAGAGCCCAATTGGGATTCGGTCCGGAAGAACATCTGCAGAACACAAAAGGTGTCCAATCTTGGTGACTTTAAGACCAGTGGACTTCAACTTCCAGAATTCCCCAGCCAGCCATGCTGGCTGGGGAATTCTGGGAGTTGAAGCCCACAAGCTCAACCTTGAAGTCACCAAGGTTGGATATTCCTGCTCTACACAGATACATGGATGAGCAAGTGGGTTTCCTTTTTAAAAAAAATCACCATTTAGACATACAACTCATACAACTCTACCATACACTGCTTCAAATATGTAAAGTACCACACAATGAAATTTGGACATTTGAGACGGACCCCTCCCATTTTATAAAGGTGGGACTGAGGCAGAGAAAGAAACCAGTCAGCCAGCCAACCAGATAAATTCAGGCATGGATTCAAGGTTGGTCCGGCCACCTCAGGTCCTATTTATTCCCCACCTGCTCAGTTCTAGTCAGTTTCAATCTGATTCTTGCCCTTGCAGAGAAGGTTGGAAATGGAAAAAAATGGAAGCCAATTTTACAATAGGAATCACTGTCAAAATTGTGACCTGCCAGTTCCCTATTCCTCAACTTGGTGGCTTCCAGATGTGTTGGAACTCCAAATCCCAAAATTCCCAGCCATGAACATTGAGAAAAGGAGGGGGGAGCCGAGTGGCATTGCATGCATTATGTTGAGGTGCAAAAGACATGAATTATATCCTTGACATCAGCCTCATGATACTATGACTGCCACAATATCACCTATCAGTCAGTGGCAGAGAGCAGAAACCAAGATGGTATCAGCCCAGTTGTGAGCAATGGGCTCAAATTATTATCAACAGACTGATGTCATCAAGGCTTGACAATCACTGCCATACGGTTCCAGAACAGGAATTCAACCCTGCTGGCTGGTGAACACTGAGGGCTGCACCCCAACACCTGCTAGGTGATGGCACCAATTTAAGGAACCGTGAGCCGGGTGGCAGTGATTATTTTAAAATATAAATTAAAAATAAATCTAAGTATATATCACTAGAACACATCATTTATAAAGTGGACTTGATAAGATTTATTATTATTATTATTTTTAAAAAGAGTAATTTGAGAACAATTCTCAGATCAATATATATATATATATATTTTCAAAAATCTAAAAGTTGCTCTCGGATATCACTAACACTTCATTCTGACTGGGCAGTGAAAACATGCATTTGTACCCAAAAAGCCCCAGTGGTTTAACTATAAATAGTTTGGGGAATGCTTTTTTTATTTTAAATTTAAACAAGAATAATGTGCGCTTTAATTTAAGTGTCAAAGAGACGATTCAAGTCATTTCTAGCTTTGTAATAAAAAAAACAACACACACTACTTTGGCCCCCTCCCACACAAGAAAACTACAAAGAAAACTTTGCAGAGATGATTGCCCTCCAGATACAACTTCCTACACCGTAGAGAAGGTTGAACAAGATGCCTGTGAAGCATCAGACAGCTTTGAAAGAAAAAAAACGGAAACAACATTTCCAGAAAACAGAATCCCCCTCCCCTCCCTTAAAATCTACCCCACCCCTCTTCCCTTCCTGGCAACATCATCATTTTTCAAAATAAAAGTTATTGAGGCAAAAAGTCAGGTGTCAACGGGCAGGGGGAAATCTCTGTTGCTCTCCAGGGGAGCAGGAGGGCAGTAGCTCAACTGTATGGAAGTTTTGTGGCTCCATTTGATCAATTTTAAAGTTCTCTGTGAAAAAATAATGCCTCCTCGTTTCTCACCCGGTTTGACTGCTTAAAATGCAGAATGTAACCGTCACACTTGTCATGATAAACTCCTTAGTACATTTACAACACAAAAAACGTTTATAATGTAAACTTGACACATGCTATTCTTCCTTTTAAAAAACAGAACGGGAAAACAACAAAAGAGAGAGAGAGAGAGAGAAAGAGAAAGAAAGAAGACTAAAGCTAAACAGGTTCAGATTCGGCATGCTACAGTACTTCCATGTCTCATTGAGATACGACACTGAAGGTGACAAAAAAGATGACAAGGGGATTACAAAATATTTTGCCAGCAGGTTATGAAGCTGCCCAATTGACCATCGGCGAACACTTTCCCTTCCCCATAATCTATTCCTAATGTCCATGATTCTAGTGCTGGATTGGCCATTTATGTGTTTATTCTTATCCGTTCGGGTTAAATAGGTGCTTCCTTAACTTAGTTAAATCCATCGGTGTGGTAGCTGGGGTGAGAATCTGCCGTGAGCTGAGTCGTCTCTGTGGCCGAGGCTGGCTGGATCACGATGGGGCCTTCGGTGTTCTCTGAAATAGAAACAGCAACTTTTTGAAAGCTGAACATCAAGAAGGGTCAGCTACCACCTTTCCTGGCCAATTTTCGTAACTTATTAAAAGTTTATTTAAGCATCCACAGGATATGCAAGGTGTCATGGCTGGTGGAAACGAGCATTTGCCAGAAATTCCAGACCTATTGTAAGGAAAGTATTCTGTGGCTACTCAGATGGTACAGGTTGTCTTTGCCTTATGACCACAATTGAGCCCAAAAGTTCCACTGCTGAGCAAGACAGTTATTAAGTGAGTTCTGCCCCAATTTACGACGCTTTTTGACAGTTGTTAAGTGAACCAGTACTGTTGTTACGTGAATCTGGCCTCCCCCATTGACTTTGTTTGTCAGAAGGTCACAAAAGGGAACCCCAGGAGGGTGCAAATACCGTAAATACAGGCTGGTTTCCAAGCACTGGAATTTTGATCATGTGACCACAGGGAAGCTGCAAGAGTTGTAAGTTGAAAACTGGTCATAAGTTCGTTTTTCCAGTGCTGCTGTAACTTTGAATGGTCACTAAAAAAAATGCTTGTAACTCAAGCGCTACCTGTAATGGCTGGTGTTAACAGGCTCGTGAGAGGAAATTACTATGCCATTCTATTTTGAACATTCATTTTACAGATTTCACCCATTTCATCTTGTTTTTTTTTTTAATTGTATCTACTTGAATGCTCAATTTATGAATTTGCTGTATTTTTTATATTAAGTCCTGTCTGATGAATTATAAAGCTATTAAGCCAACATAAGTAAAAGAATCTGTCGATAGTTCATGCAAGTAGTTTGCTTAAGTACCTGAGAAAGAAAAGTTTTGTGCTGCAATTTTTGAAAAGAAAATGACGTCCTTTGACTGGATGCAGAGAGTGGCTGCACAACAAAAGCCCTGTGAGCTGGGTTGGGCTAATAATTAGCCCAAAGTCACCCAGCGGGCTTTCATGCCTAAGGCAGAGCTAGAACTCACCGTCTCCCAATGATCAGCCCAAAGTCACTCAAGGGGCCTTCATGCTTAAGCTAGACTAGAAGTTATATCTTAACGATTGGCCCAAAGTCAACCATCAGCTGTCATGCCTAAGGCAGGACTACAGCTCAGTCTCCTGGTGCCTGGCCCAAAGACAGCCAGCAGGCTTTCACGCCTAAGGCAGAACTATAACTCACTGTCTCTTGATGATTAGCCCAAAGACACCCAGCCGGTTTCGAAGTCTAAGGTGGGACTAGAGCTCACTGTGTCATTGTTTCTAGCCTGATGCCTTGACCACTACACCAACTGGTTCTCGCACCTTAAGCCACACCATGTCATCTCTTTCCCCTTTTCTGATGTTTGGATGTGTTTCTGGCGATTTAACTACTAGAGCAACCAACACTTACCCCTCTCGTCTGATTGTACTTGGGCCTCCAAGTCTTCTGGAGAGACATAACATTCTGGTTCATCTCCTTCGGGGGGTTTCGGTTTACACTTTCCACAGCAACAGTTACAGCAACAGCAGAGGCAGCAGAGACAGTAGCACCCGGTTATGAGCCCACAGAAGATAAACAGCGCCTGGATAGCGGGGAAAAGAAATGTAGATTATCTACATGAAGCAAGCAAGCTTGCCTGGGGAGGTCAAGTTAGAGAAAGGTAGTGACCAGAATTGGGTGTTCTGAAAGATTGAGTGTTGAATTCTGAGCAGTGGAAAAGATCTGCTGCTGATCACATGTCCTAAGAGCTGATGATGGCTCATTGGGTGTGATCTTCCACCTTAACTATACTGATTTATGACAAATATTCAGCAATTCTAGAGTCCTGCGTGTTAGACATTGATCCAAACGCATTCAATTAGTTAATCAGCCAATTCTACATGAGGCAGCCTTGGAGGACAACTCAGAAGGGGTGAATAGCTACAAAACATGGTGCCAGGTTAAGAAAATCTGACATTGTAGAATCATCTTGGGGTTGCTGACCCAGGTCCAATGCTGGATATTATCTAGAAGGCTTTTTAAAATTTAGCACTGGGATAGATAGGGAACCACCTTGCTAAACAATGAGATTTGCCTGTCCAGACTGAATACCGAGGGAGGATCTGCTAAGGATCTCCCTAAGCTCAAGGGATGCTGTTCATGGAGTATGGGCCACCATAGGCCTTTTCAGTGATGGCCCTAGGAGAACTTGTAAACAAGCTGATAAAGAAACAAGAGGAACACTAGGCATACATACTGGCCTATCTCATAAACAGTCATTTGGTCTCCAGGCAAAAGAGATTAAAAATGTTCAAAGAGACATCACCTTAATGAACACGCTTATAAAAGAGGGCTTGGGGTCCTACCAGAGTTTTCAGAATTTTGTAATCTTCGTTAATTCTTGCACCAAAATTCCTTATCAAGGCCTGCGGGATTCTTGCTTTCTTGATGAAGCCTTATTGTAAATGCTGGCTGGAGAATTCTGGGAGTTGAAGTCCACCAGTCTTAGGAGTGGCCAAGGTTGGACACCCCTGCCAACCTTGTCCATTTGAGCCCATCATGTCTCTCATATCATAAGCCTAACAAGACCGTCGTAATCCCAACATGCCTTTGGGTTTGAATGATTGTGGGTGATTATATTAATGTCATTAATACATTAACAATATTGTAACATTTTATTCTCAGTTTATCTTGCTTTGTGAATATTGCCCTGTGTCACGATGGATTGGGATGAATAATAGCATTGATGAATTTAGAAATATTTCTAAACCTACCTTCTTGATCAACCTTTCCAGCATTCGGGCTGTCATTATATTACCAAAATATATATCTGATCTAATACATCTAAACTGCACCATTAGCATAAAACTCTTTCTTATGTATAGGAGAGTAGCAATGGCTTAGCATGAACAAACTCTTGGATGGATGGAGTTCAAAATGCTTCTATCGTGGAAGAGAATCCAGGAAAAAGCTTAAAAGTCATAGATAAGTGTGGCCGACTCACCAAAACAGGAAAGCAGAGCCCTCAAACCTACAGGTGGCTTAAAATGGGCGACATCATGTGATATTCTTAAGCTAAAACACCAGCAAACCTTTCTGTTGACTAGATTTAATTAAGATGTATTTCGAACTTCAATAAGCCTAGTAATCTAGAAATCTAGCAAACAGAAAGGTTTGCTGGTGTTTTAGCTTAAGAATATCACATGATGTCACCCATTTTAAGCCTTCCGTGGGCCCTCCGAAAGCAATCTAGAATTTTCAGGAAATTGTATAGGGAAGATATTCATCATCATCATCATCATTAGGTCTTGTGCAGGCCATGGAGGGCAGCAAGGGTTTTCCAGCGTTTGTGATCATTTGCAGCATCTTCGGCATCGTCCCAAGGGACATTAATGTAATCAGAAAGATATTGCTCATGAAAAATTAGTCAAATTAAAATGCGTTGTTGGCCTCAAAATTGTGTACCTCGCCACGAAAGATGAAAACCAATCCATTTTAGAAAAGCCGATCATAATTACAATGAATGTTAGAAAACAGGTCTGCAAATGACAGACTTAAAAAAAGAAGATTTTTAACAAACACCCTTGTAAAATGATAAATGGCAATTCACAGTCCTCTTCTAAAGTATTTGCTTTTCCTTTCCTAGACTGAGGCAGGCATCTAGAAAAATATGATCTCTTATGACCTTTCTGCACTCCTTAAAAAAGACAAGGCTGCTTCTTGCTCTGGAAATCTTTATGACCCCCAGGAAAATTAACTGGCGCACAAATCATATGTGATTTAAAATTTCTTTAATCATGCTGCAGTTAGCATTTTTACAAGCCTCAGCAGTTATTCAATTTATAGAGGGGGAGAGAGAACAGGATAAAGAGGCCAAGGAAACTGGTCTGTGGTAGCTATATGGAAGCCCAAATATTTACTGATAATCGCTTTTTTCCACGTTAGAAAAGAGGCACTTCAATCCTTGAAATGAATGAGGCAAATTTTGTTTCAAGACAAAATTAATTTAATTAATTTCAGAACAGAATCCACTCGGTACTCACCTTGGCCCACCAGCTGGATAACACAAAATAGGTGTTCACATTCTCTTCTCCAAACTGTTCTGCTACGTACAGCCCCAAAGAGCCATACTTATCATAAATATTTCTTTTTGTGGCATCAGTCAATATTGCATGTGCGTTGTTAATCTCTTTAAATTTATCTGCGGCTTCTGGATTATCTGGATTCTTATCGGGGTGATATTTTAATGCAAGTTTCCTATGGAAGAAGTAAATGATATTTAGGGGGCGGGGGAAAGTTTGACAAAAAATTAAATATAGCTGCTGGAACAAGTCACTAGGGAGTTACTCTTCAAGCAGTTGGAATTCTGAGAAAAATGAAGCAAGAGCTCCCTCTTACACGCAACACTCATTTATACAACAAATGTGTGTGTGTGTGTGTGTGTGAAACACAGACTTCACATTCTGAGGATGTCGCTTTTTGGTGTCTGTTGTAACTTTGGATAGTCACTAAGTGAAGACCATATCTAGTGGTGAAGGCATCAAGCTAGAAACCTGGAGCTATTTGTGACGATGGCTGCATCCCCTTCATGCAGTCACACGATCACATTTTGAATGTTGGGAACAGGCTTATCTGTATGGCCGCTTGCCATCTCCACTAGCCATGTGGTGGCAATTTTTGACTCTTTTTTGCCAGTTTTGCTGGTATTTATTTCCAATTTCTGACAAAAAAACCCTCCACCTGTTAGGTAAAATGGATTTCCTTAATGACCAGCATAAAAAATGCCAGCGATCAGATCTAGTCACATGGTAAATCCATTTAATGACCACCATGACCTACGACCATAAATCTAGGCCCAATTACGGTTGTAAGTTGAGGATTAGCTATACCTGACTCTCCAAGAAAGCTGACACCACAAAGAGCCAAATTGTTTTACTTTTATTCAACTCTGCCAGTGCAGCTTCTTTTTGGAGACATAAACAGATGGGGCACAAACAGCCCTCCCCACTCTAAAGCACCTTTCCTGTTTGAGCCCTTGTTGGAGAATGTGCTCCTGAGCATATGCAGAATGCTAAAAGAATAGCAAGTAATTAAGTAGTGGAAGTTCCCATTAAAAAGAAAAGCTGGATGCAAAGAATGGGTTTATCTTAGCCATAAATGAATGTGGTTCATTGGTATCTGAAGTAAATTATAGATTTATTAAGAAATATTAAGAAAGCTTAAGTTCTGCCTAAACTGCATTTTGAACAGAAGGACCTCATAGTCCTCCTCCTCCTCCTCTCTGCAAATTCCAGCCCCTTCCAGCACTGATGATGTTACCTAGTTGGGTAATGAAACATCTGCAAGCAATCAAATTCAGAGAGTACCAAGGACCCCACTGGCTCATAAGTGCAGTGGGGATGATTCAATCTCCGTCACAAACTGTCAACCCTTCAAATCAAAACTTTAGAATAACATTTACCACCAATAGCTCATCATCCTCTAAAAGTAGATGATTCCCATCCAGTGTTTTTTTAAAAAAATACATTATTCTTGATCAGCCTGAGTTACAGACAGATTCGGAAATACCTGATACATTTTAAGGAGAAATACTGCAACTTTATTTTTGCAATTCATTGGCAGGATTTCTAACACTCACTGATGAGAAACAGCCAAAGAACAAGGTGACCCAATCCCCTAATTAGATGACTGAAAAGAAAAAAAAGGTTAAAGTAATTAGGCTAAATTCTGGCTTGGAAAGAATAACAACACGTTCCAAGTTTTGGACCTGCTTGCTTCTATTTTTAATTCATGTTTTTGCATGTATGTTTAAGCTAATACTAAGAGGGAAACACCAAATTGATTTTCCATTTTCTTTTTGCTCTATGTGGCAGCATCCTTGAAACCTGGGGCTCTTGATTCTTTCTTTATCTCAATCACAGCTGTGAACCCACAAAAATATGCCACTTATTTTGGGGGCACAACTACACCAAAACACTTTTCTTCAGATTTCAAGTATTCCACATCCCCATTGAACATGGAAAAATAATAATAAAAAAAACCTAGTCTGCCCTTTGAAGTTTTTATTTATTTATTTTGTCGGATGATGGACATGTGTTTATTCCAAGCATGTTTAAACAGTTACTGATGATTGACCCACTACCTCTGCTGGAAGTTGGTTCCAAGCTTCCATTACTCTTTCTAAGAAGTAACACTTGCTAACATTACTTTTGAGCTTTCCACCTGTTGCTGAGAGTTTATGCTCCTGTTTTCTTAATATTTGCTTAGTTTTTGCTTTATGCTGAAATCAAACAAGATTTTTTTAAGAGCAAAAGCTCATTATTTAACTAAGGTAAATGATAATATATCTTCAGTTGCAAAAACCTTGGAAGATCACAGTTGGTTGAATTTTTGTCGACTCCCCAATTCAAGAAAGTTGGGGGAGGAGATTCCAACAGCTACATTTTCTCCAATAGAAATAGCTGTTAAGTGCATTTACTGGTCTGTACACCAGCTGACCTCACACAGGTAGACCTCAACTCACAAACGTTCATTGAGTGACTGTCTGAAATTATAACAGCACTAAAAAAAAAAGTGACCGGCAACAATCCTCATAGTTACGACTATCACAGTTGCTTGGCGACCAGCATGTGTTTACAAGGGTTGCAGTATCCCAGAGTCCTGTGATTGTCAGTTGCAAGCTTCCCAGATAGCTTCCAACAAGCAAAGTCAAGGGAAGAAGCCAGATTCACTTAACGACCATCCGATATACTTAACTGCAGCCATTCACTTAACAACCACCTTACTTAGCAAAAGAAATTTTGGTCCCAGACGTGGTTCTAAGTTGAGCACTACTTGTTTTAGGCTCTAGAAATTCGGAGATTCCAAATCACAAGCTGAGCTGGTTGTATCAACAAACGTTTGTTTGCCACATACTTATGTGCCGCTTGGAGATGTTTGAAACTGCAAATGTTTAAAATGCATCTGGAATCCATGCTACCTTTAGGATGAGGTTCCACCTCCTTACCTGTATGATTTCTTAATATCATCTGAGGTGGCATTCTTGTCCAATCCTAGAACAAGGTAGAGTGATTCTCCGGACGTGGATAACGAACGTTGCCTCTGATCTCCCATCCTGAGCTACCCTGTCAGGAAGAAAAGCGTTCAAAACATGGCATGACATTGTCTAGGGAGAGCCTTAATCATCCTAGCCGTGTTTGTCCCAAAAGATGCTTTTTCCAAAAGGCAACTAGGCTTTCTTGGTTTATTCTTTGAAGACATTTCCCTTCTCATCCAAGAAGCTTCTTCAGTTCTGGTGGGGAATGGAAGGATTTCTATTCCTCAGCAGTCAATCTGGCTGTTAGCACTCTGAGGGCTGGATTGTTAACTTTCTGGAGGTTGGTTGTTAGCTCTCTCTTGTGAAGACAGCAGAATCCACATTCTGGACAGAGAGGACCGCTGCACTGAAAAAGGGGTCAAAGGGCCATCTATATTAAAACTGACCAGCCCCTCTCAGCAGAGGGGGAGGGATATGACACCACCTATCTCCTGTCTACAGAAGGCCTCTCAGCAGTCTCAAAAAAGCTTCCTTACCTATTTGCACTCTGATTCAGGAAGCCCAGAGGGTACAGATTAACCCCCAAGGGGCCTCAATGACTCTCAGAGAGCTAAAGACCAACCTTCAGAGTGCTAGCAACCAGGTGACTGCAACGAATATAAATCCTTCCATTCCCCACCATTCAGCCAGAACTGAAGAAGCTTCCTGAATGAGAAGTGAAACATTTAAAAAGAACAAAACAAAATAAGAAAGTCCAGTTCTCTTTCAAAAAGCACCTTTGGAACATAACATAAAATTGGTTTCCCATCTCCATCAGATTAGCACTCTGCAATAGGCAGTGCTGAGTTGGATTAAGAAGTCCAGACCTCCCAACCCTCTAGAGCCATAAAATTCATCTGGAAGACACTCCGGGATCTCCTGGCTGCCGGATCAACCTTATCAGGACAGGGACAGGAACAATCCCATGTATTTTGATTACAGCACCATGAAGGAAGGACATCATCAAGCTTTGAAATTTGCTTTTGCTGTTTCAGCCATTTTCGATTCTCAGGTTGCCAACAACCTGGGGCGGAAAGGAGAGGAAGAATGGAATGTACGCTCCCAGCAATGAGACAAGGGAACCAAGGACACTTCAACAGGCGTTTGCCAGAGCCAAAAAGATTTTACCACAATATTAAGAAATACAATAGGACAATGTGACCTGGCCTAAAAGTGGGAGGGAGAATCTATACTTTAACTATATGGGTATTGCATGGGAAATAGCTAGATCTGGTTCTGCTTTCATATGTGCCGGAATGATGTAATCAATAAAGCTTTGTATAAGGAGATGGGATTGTCCCCGTTGTGCCTGCTTTGCTTGGGTTTCTCAGCTGGAACTCCGACAGATGTGTTTCTTCATCATGAAATTAACATACTTAACCTTAAGCATCCATTCCTTTTTCTAAAGGAAAAAGAATTAACCATAGTTTTAGTGATGAATATTACTTCTGTGACCTTGATAAAATGTGGATTTATTATACAGGTATTCCTTGACTTACAACCATTCGTTTGGTAACCATTTGAATTTACAACAGCATTGAAAAAAAGTGACATGACCTTTTTTCACACTTACAACCATTGCAGCATCCCCAGGTCACATGAGCAAAATTCAGATGCTTGGCAGCTGGCATGTATTTCTGACGATTGTAGAGTCCCTGAGTCACATGATTCCCCTTTTGTGACCTTCTGACGAGCAAAGTCAATGGAGAAGCCAGATTCACCCAACAGCCATGTTACTAACTTAACAACTGCAATGATTCACTTAACAACTGTGGCAAGAAGAGTTGCAAAATGGGGCAAAACTCACTTAACAACTGTCTTGTTCAGCAACAGAAATTTTGGGCTCCGTTGTGGTCGTAAATCAAAACTTCCTGAAATCCATGTGTTGACTACTAACCACCAAATCTCTCGTCAAAGTTTTCCAAATGCATGTCAAGAATGAAACGTTGGCAGCTACCTGCCTCTTTGTTTCAACTTGCTATTAGAGTCAGGGGGCAGGGGGAGGTGTTGCTTTAGAAGGGGTTAGATGGGGAAACGAAAGCTCCGCGATTCTGCTGAAGACCTGGGAGAGCCTGAAACCTTTTCAAGGAGATCGTAGCAAGGGTGGAGTTGAAGCAAACAGTTCCCATAACAACGTGAACGTGTTTACATGGACTACGTGAGAGGCTGGGGGTTTGGCTGGGAAAAGTATTGTTTAATTCTATAAACTGGTGTTTGGGAAACTCAGAGTTAGTTTTGCTTCGACACTGCCACGCAGTGTATTCAATAAACAGTACGGTTTTCGGAAATGGAATGAACCTGGATTCTCGGAATGAACCTTGGATTCTCCAGCCAGATGTTGACAATACATTCTGCTAGTTTGCATTGGCAACGTTTATTTATTTTGAGTTCAAAGCTTTTATAACCCCCGTTTTCAGCCTGAAAGATTCTTAGGCAGAAAGAAAAGGTGACAGAGAGAGAAAGGAAACCTATGTAAGTCACTATATAGTACGGGTTAATTTGCTAGCTGCCAGCTAGGGACAAAATAGACTGATCGGGAAAGTGCAACAGACCCCATCATCACTAGAGCACAGTCTGTTTTTTAATTACCCAGAGGAGAACCCAATGACTCATGGGAAGATGACCTGATGGGTTCAGCAAGCCACAATAACAGGGGTCCATAGGGTAGCCCTGAGGACGCCTTGCTCATAACTCACATCATTCCCTTCTGGTAAAAAAACTGCTGAGAAACAGAGATGACAGTTTCCTGTTATTTCCACAGAGAAAAAGCAAGGAAAAAACAGGCTAGTCCTCTTATCACAACAAGAAAACAAAAGGAGCAATGCTTTTCCCAGCCCTATGGGAGGAGGTGGGGAACCAGCTCATCCTCCTTCAGGAATGTTACTGCAATCCTCAATAATAATGAAGTGCAAGGCTCCACCACTGAAGGCTGCTGTGTCCCCTTCTAGCCCAACCAGCTTGGTCGCTGGATAGCAGCCAAGGTGTGCCCGAACCATTCACAGGCTTCTTGCAACAGCATAGAAAGAGCCCTGGTGGGGCAGTGGTTAGAATGCAGTATTGCAGGCTAATTCTGCTGACTGCCCGAAGTTTGATCCTGGCTGACTCAAGGTTGGCTCAGCCTTCCATCCTTACCAGGTCGATAAAATGCAGACCCAGATTACTGGGGGCCATAAGCTGACTCTGTAAACCACTTAAAGAGGGCCATA